CCTATACACACCCATGTGGCCTTGCATCCTCATACGCCTATTGCCTCCAGCTTCCCCGTAGCGCAGCTCAGATTTTTGCCTCTGGGATCCTGTGCCTCTAGGTGGTTAGGGTGTTTCTCAGACTTGCTGTGACGCTTGACACAACCCCTCTCCTTTTTCTGGAGGCAAGTGTCTCAGCCTACTGAGCCACCTTCATCATATGTCAGTCTAAGGTCTTTTGTGTAAAAACCCTCCTTAGTCTCACTACTGAGCCACCTTCATCATATGTCAGTCTAAGGTCTTTTGTGTGAAAATCCTCCTTAGTCTGTCTTCCTTCTCAGCGAATGTATCCTGGGTGGTAAGAGGAAGGTTTGGGAGCAGCTCAGGCCCACCCTCTTTTCCAGGTTCCAGGGACTCTGCTGCTGCCGCCATTAACAGCTAGTTTTTCCCCCACTACCAGAGCTATATCCTTGCCCTTGGCTATTTCCCCAAAAGGCCTCTCCCAGCACATTGCTCCTGGTACCTTATCACTTTGGTCCTCCCATGTCTTCCATAGCACACCACACTTTTTTTTTTTAATTCTCCTCCCCCCCCCTCCCTACTGCTGACCTTCCTCCCTTTCCTGTTGGCTAATTTAGGCAGCCTCTGGAAAAGTGCCTATGTAGGCAAGTGTGTGCATACATGCATTGTGTGTAAGTGTCTTTGTCGGGAGGTGTGTGCATTGCCACCTGTGCAAATGTTATTTGCAGCCTCTTTCGCTTTTCCTTTTGCTGGCTTGCTCACACACACAGGCATTAAATGTGTGTGTTCATGTCAAAACAAGTTTTTAAAGGAAGGGAACTATACACTTTTTAAAGTGAATGTTGTTTACTAGTAATTGGAGAAGAGCCAATGTATCCTATACTTCTTCCCATGTTTTTCTAGATACACTATAAACTCTTTGCATACTCCTTTTTGTGTATCCACAAGGCTCCAGCATGGTAGGTGCTGACCTTAGTTGGAGTCTCTAGGCACTAAACAACACTTGTAGTAATGTGGAAACATGTTAGTGCAGGCTAGATTTGTATACATGAATACATGTGTATATCAATGTTTATGTAGGTATCTGTGCAGTGTGCACTTCAGTGGTTGTTTCTCTGTGGATTTGTATTTGGGCTTCAGGAGTGGATGCGTTAAAGGCCCTTTAAAGGCCCTTTGCAGGGGAGATAATGGATGGTCCTAATTCCACACATGATTTACAGTAACTTTAGTGAACAAAAAATGTAGTTCATTATGAAAAATGGGAAGAGAGGGAAGTCATGGAAATCTTTGAAACTTTTTTAAATTACCCTTTTAAACTTATGCTGCCAGCTCTAGCATCCTGTAACACACATCTGAACTGAGCACAATTAGAGGTGGAAAGTAAGTAGAAATACTTTGTTACACTACTCAAGTACCCTTTTTTAATTATTATTTGTACTTTAGTAATTTATTTTTGTGATACTTTGACTTAGTAGGCTTTTTTGCTATGCAGGCAGGAGGAAAAGGCACTATGGGGTGGTAATTTACTCTAGTGCAGCTGGGGGAGAGGGCTGGT